TTCCAGGTCTCAGGTCTACCCTGACACCTTCTGCAGGTGGTGTCACTTCTGGGTCCCACGTGTGACCCCAGCACAGGGGCCCTCTTCTTCTGTGCTGAGGAGATGGAGGCCCAGGGGAGCTGTGCTCGGATTTGACAATGCCAATATGAGTGTTTACATCTTAGAATACTCTGTGGACATGGAGGTGTTGTTTCCAAATAAAAGAAAACTGAGTAAATGGGAGTTTTAAGAAACCTGAGCAATGGAGAGTAGAAGAAAATGTTTCTACTTTTCGTTTCCCCAAATGTTGCTGTCAAGGGGCTGGAGAGAGAAGTTGCAGGGAAAACAGAAACCTCAGAGAGGGTTGGAGCTCCTGAGCTCTGCTCACCTCCACAAGAAAGATGTTTGGGAAATTATTAAGACAATTTGACATTACTTGGAAATTTCATAATATTAGGGAATTATAGTAACTCTCTTCAGTGTAATAATATTATTGTTGGAAAAATGTTATTTTTTAAGAGATGAGTACTGAAGTATTTAAATGAGGGTCATGATGTTGGTAAGTGATTGTCAAATGTTTCAGCAAAAATTATAGAAATATAATTTATTACATACACAAAGGAAATAATTAGATATATGGTGACCATTGTATTCTTTCAAACTTGGTAGGACTCTGCAATTTTGTGTAATTATTTGGAGAAAAAATTAAAGTGAATAATACATAATCACATGAGAAATATTCACAACATCATGTTGAATGGAAATTAAGCTTCAAGACCAGATAAGGTGGCTCATGCCCATAATTACACAGCTTTGAGAGGCTGAGGTGGGAGGATCACTTTAGGCCAGGAGTTTCACACTAGATGAGGTGGCTCATGCCCGTAATCCCACAGCTTTGAGAGGCTGAGGTGGGAGGATCACTTTAGGCCAGCTCAAGAGCAGCCAGGAAAACACAGGAAGACCCTACTCCTACAAAATACTAAACAATTTTTTTTTTTTTGAGACGGAGTCTCGCCTCTGTTGCCCAGGCTGGAGGCAGTGGCCAGGATCTCAGCTCACTGCAAGCTCCGCCTCCCGGGTTTATGCCATTCCCCTGCCTCAGCCTCCCGAGTAGCTGGGACTACAGGCACCCGCCACTCGCCCGGCTAGTTTTTTGCATTTTTAGTAGAGACGGGGTTCACCATGTTAGCCAGGATGGTCTCGATCTCCTGACCTTGTGATCCGCCCATCTCGGCCTCCCAAAGTGCTGGGATTACAGGCTTGAGCCACCGTGCCTGGCCAAAATACTAAACAATTAATTGAATCTGGTGGCGGGTATACCTGTGGTTCTAGCTACTTGGGAAGCTGAGACGGAGAATTGCTTAAGCCTAGGAGTTCAAGGTTATGGTGTTATGATCATGCCACTGTGCCTCAGTGACAGAGCAAGATCCTGTCTCAAAAAAATTAAAAATAAAGAAAAAAAAGAATATTAAGCTTTAAGAGCATTCAAGAGCATGTGTGTGAGAATGTACAGTGTGTGTCAGTTGTGTGTATTTGTGTGTGATTGCATGTCATTGTGTGGAGAGTATCTAAGAACATATGTCAATCTGCGTGATGGCACCTTTGTGTCTGCGTATGTTGGTGTGTGAGTCTATGCGTGCATTCATTCATTCATTCATTCACTCACTCAACTAGTATATTTAAAGTAAATAATCAGGCACTATTCAAGGTAAGGGAAATACAGCTGTGAACAATCAAAATCACTGCCCTTGTCCTCAAGGAAACTTATATTCCCAGAGGAGAGAGATACTATAAGCAATTAAAATAAACACATCTGTAGCTGGGCACAGTGACTCATGCCTGTAATTCCAGCACTTTGGGAGGCTGAAGGGAGGACCCTTGAGGCCAGGAGTTTGAGACCAGCCTGGGAAACATAAGCACTCCATGTGTACCAAAAAGAAATACAACCAGCTGGGAGGTGTGGTGGCACACGCTGTAGTCCCCAGCTACTTGGGAGGCTGAGGAGGATCACTTGAGCCCAAGAGTTTGAGGTGCACACAGTGAGTCAAGACTGCACTACTGCACTCCAGCCTAGGTGACAGAGCACAACCTGGTCTCTGAAAATAATACATCAGTAACAATTCTTAAATGTTAGTAGAAGCGTTGTGAACAAAAACAAAACAGGGTGGGAAATGGGGAGGGGGAGGGGAGATTTTGCATGAAGTGGGCAGTGCAGGGACGGGTTGTGGTGGGAATGTGGTGGGAACGTCAGGGGGTGTGAAGGGAGCCCTGAGATGAGCTTCCAGGCAGGGGAGCAGCTGTGCAGAGGCTCTGAGGTGTGACACCTGGGCATGCTGGATGAACCCACGTGCCGTGACGCCTTAATCTGGCCCCATTGTACAGCCACATCTGGGTAAACTGGGCGTCACTGGAGAGGGCTCCTTGCCAATAGAGGGATTTTTCATGTAACATGCTCTTTGAAAAGATTCTTCAAAACATTCCAAAGGTATTACAGGGGACATTGTCCTCTGTTCCCAGACCCCAGGTCCCCAAGCGAAACGAGCACGTTATTCATGTCTCATGCATCCTTCCTGGAAAGCAGCCAGTAATGTGTTGGCTGTTGTTACATGAAGAAGGAGTGACCAGCAAGAAAGAAGCAGAGGAAGAAAATGCTGCTTCTTTTCGGTTTTCCAGAGTGTTGTTTGTGAAGGGCTGGAGAGAGGGTTTGCAGGGAGGAGACAGAAACCCCAGGGACTTGGCATAAGGCCCAGAGCCTCCTCTCATCGTTGTGGAGTCCCCTTTGCTGCCCAGAGGCTCCTTCACCCCCACTCTCGATGCTCAGGCCGGGTCAGCCATCTCTGCCTGACTTACAGCCCAGTCGCCTCTGCTCAGAGAATCTGAGAGCAGCGGCGGCGCCTGCAGGCCACAGGGCCAAGGATGGTGGCCCTGAGGTCCCACGTCACCTGCCCAGCCAAGACTCTGGGTCTCCCTGGCTCCAGGCAGCAGGACAGGGGTCTGAACACAAGAAGGCGCCTTACCCTATGTCAGGTTTGGGATCAGCCGGGGTCTGTGGTTCTATTCATGTACGTCTTTATTGTATTCCATTGATTTATGCCTATTTTATGCCCATTTCACACTGCTTTGTATTACTACAATTTATAGTAAATATTGAAATCACCCACTATGCATCCTCCAAATTTCTTCATTTTAAAAATTATTTTGGCTATTCAAAGTTATTTTTTTTCCGTAGAAATGTAGCTTCCAGTTTGCCAATTTCTTTAAACATTTCTTTTTAAAGCTCACCAGTGTTTTAATTCAAATTGCAATTTAATTTAATAGTTCAATCTGGAGAATTAATAACGTTGGAGATCCTAGTCTTGAATACACTACTTCTGTCTATTTCAATCATCTTTACTTTCTGCTGGTGCTGCCATGTAGATTCCTAGTGTACAAATAACAAACACTATTAAAAATTAATGTCTGAACATGGTATTACTTTTTTAATAAATGTTTTATAAGTGGATTTGTAAATTTTTTGTTACTCTGATTTTACATTACTTATAGAGACTTAACTTGTATAGAGTTGTACCCTACAATTTTGATAAATTCACTTCTTACTTCTAGTTTTATTTGCTCAATATTTAATTTCGCATAATATTGTCACCTGAAAACTTGTATATACATTTCTCTTTCATTTAGAAGTCTTTCATTTCTTTTTCTTGCTTAATGCTCTGGCCAGACCTCCAGGATAATATCTTTGCTGTTTTCCTGATCTTAGGTAGAGTAATCTATTTTCACTACAAAATATGAAGTAGTTGTAGGTTTTATGTTAGAAGCCTTTATCAAATTGAAGAACTTGACTACGGTCTACTACTAAGGGCCTTTGTCACAAAATGAGTGTTACATTCCTATTTTTCATTATTATTTTTTAACTGTTAGGTTCTGTGGTACATGCGCAGGCCTGTTATATATTTAAATTGCATATCATGGGGGTTTGGTGTACAGATTATTTCACAATGCAGGTTAGAAGCATGGGACTTGATTGGAAGTTTTTTAATCCTCACTCTTCTCTCATCCTCCACCTCCAGCCCTGTGTCTACTGTTCTCTTTGAGTCAAGGGCATTGATTGCTTGAGCTCTCACTTACCAAATAGAACTTGTGAAGCTTGGTTTTCTGTTCCTGTGGTAGTTCTCAGGATAATGGCCTCTAGCTCCATCCATGTTAATGCAAAGGACATGGCCTTTGTTCTTTTATGGATGTGTAGTATTCCACAGTGTATACATACCACATTTTCTCTTATCCAGTCTACCATTGATGGGCATTTAGGTTGATTCCAGGTCTTTGCTATTCTGAATAGCCCTGCATTTGAACATATACACATGCATGTGTCTCATGATAGAATGATTTCTGTTCCTTTGGGGATATACCCAATAAAGGGATTGCTGGGTCAAATGGTAATTCTAAGTTCTTTGAAAAATCACCAAACTGCTTCCATACTGGGCGAACTAATTAATTTACATTCCCACTGGCAGTGTATAAGCGTTCCTGTTCCTGCAACCTGCTACAGCATCTGTAACTTTTGGCTTTGTAATAATATCCATTTGACCGTGGTGGAGATGGTATCTCACTGTGGTTTGGGTTCATATTTCTGTGGGTGATTGCTAGTGAGGTTGACTCATCTTCTCATATGCTTGCTGGCCCCTGTGTATGTCTTCTTTGAAAAGTGTTTGTTCATATTTTTGCCTACTTTTTTAACGCAATTGCTTGTTTTCTGCTTGTCAGTCAGTCTCTCTCTCTACATTCTCATAGGTTCTGGATATTAGACCTTGTCAGATGCATAGTTTGTGACATCTTTCTCCCATTCTGTAGGCTGACTGTTTATTCTGTTGACAGTTTATTTTGCTGTGCAGAAGCTCTTTAATTAGGTCCCATTTGTCAATTTTTGTTTTTGCTGCACTTGACTTTTGGCATCTTTGTTTGATACCTTTAAAAAAAAGTTTTAAATGGTATTTAGTTTTTACTGTCATTTTAGTTTCCAGGTGTTAACACGTCAGCAGCTGAGGCAGCACAGCGAGTGGCAGGCACATCGGGCTGGTGGGGTACCGGGGAGTGGGGCTGTGGTGTTCCTGTGCAACGCCTGTGCTAGCAGTGGAGGTGGCGTGGCAGAGGCGGAGCTGCTGGTGTCTGCTCTGGCACTTGTGCAGACAGCTGTGACAGCCAGGAAGATTGCTTGAATCTGAGAGTTTGAGGCTGCAGTTAGCTGAGGACTGTGCCAGCCGCACTCAGCTTTGTAACAGAGTGAGACCTTGTCTCAAAACAAAAGATTTTTTTGGAGATGTGGTTCAGTGTGTCACTCCAGGCTGGAGTGCAGTGGCGTGGTGTTGGCTCACTGCAACCTCTGCCTCCTGGGTCTAGATTCTCCTGCCTCACCCTTTGAGTAGCTAGGATTATAGGCGCCCACCACCATGTCGGCCACTCTGCATTTTTATAGAGAGACGGAATTTCACTCATGTTGGCAGGCTGGTCTGGAACTCCTGACCTCAAGTGACCCGCTGATCTCGGCCTCCCAAAGTGCTGGGATTACAGGCATGAGCCACTGCACCCAGCCTGCCTTTTTATTGTATTAATTGAGTGAGCTGTGTTATTTAATTTGCAGGTGTTGAACTCAACATTTCCCCATAAAACCAATCTGGTATGACACATTGCCTTTTTATGTTTATTTGAATTTAATAAATTCTTAAAGACACAATTTGGGATCTGTGCTCAACAGAAATAGTTGTTCTTGATTCTTTTTTCTTGTGATTTTTTTGTCTGGGTTTTCTTCTTTTTAAATCTTATAATGTTTTATGTACTCTGAGTAATGTTTCCCTCATAAATTGACTTGAAAATGGTTGCCTCCCCTAATTTCTAAAAGGGTGTTTGAAAAATTGATGTTATTTCTCAACTATATGTTCCATAGAATTCATCATTGAAGCCTTCTGGACCTGGAATTTCCTCTATGGGAAGGATTTCAATTACAAATTCAATTTCTGATATTTGTATATAGTTGGTCACATTTTGTATTTCTTCTTGGGTCAATTTTCCTGAGTTTTCTCTCTCAAGGAAATTGTTCACTTGGTTGTCAAACGTATTGGCATTAAATTATTAATATTTCTTTTCAGGACTTGAAGACTGTGCACTGATGTTCTTTACTTCCTGATATTGTTAATTTGTGTCTTTTTGCCTTTATCAATCTAGTTAGGGGTTTATAAAATTTACTGATTATTTTCCCATACAACCAACTTTTGGATTTATTAATTTTTTTTATCTTTCTGATTCATTGACTTCTGTTTCATTATTATTTCCTTCCCCTGCATGCTTTGGTTTAATTTGTTCTTTTTTGCTTTTTTATGGCAGAAGCCAAGTTGCTAATTTGAGACCTTCTTTTTTAATAGAGGCACTTAAAAATAGCAATTTTTCTCTAGTACTGCAGCTACATCCCACAGATTTTGATTTATTGTACTTTCATATCCTTCCGTTTAGAAGACGTCCTAATTTCTCTTGTGATTTCTTCATTGACAAAATTGTCGATCAGAATTTTGATGTTTAATTTCCAGATACTTGGTATGTTTATGATCACGAATCTTAGTCCATTTGGGCTGTTGAAACAGAACACCGTAGTCTGTGTGGCTTATAAACAACAGAAATCCGTTTCTCACAATTCTCACAATTCCAGAGCCTGGGAAGTCCAAGGTGAAGACAATGGCAGAGAGAGTGTGTGATGAAGGGTGCGTCCTGATTCACAGATGGTGTCTTTTCTTGGTGTCCTTACATGGTGGAAGGAGGAAAGGAGCTCTATGAGGCTCCTTTTATAAGGGGACTAATCTCACTAATAAGGACACTGCCCTCAGGACTTAATCACCTCCTAAAGGCCCCACCTCCAAACACCACATTAGGGATTAGGTTTCAATATGTGAATTTAGGGGATGACAACAACATTCAGTCCACAGGATCATCTTATTGTTACTGATTTCTTATGTGTTTCCATACGGTCAGAAAATATATCTTGTATGATTTCAATATTTTCAAATGTATTGTTTTATGGCCTGAAATATAGTTTCTCTTGGTAAATGTATCATTTGCACTTGAGACAATATGTATTTTTTCACTGATGTTCCTATGTGTATAAATCAATAAAGACTGTGTGGCTAATGCTTTTTGTTTTCTAGGTCTTTGCTGGAATTTTCTGTAGTTTGAAAATTTATTGCTAAAGGGAAAGTTTTAACATGTCTAATGTTTAACGTTTAACATGTCTAATGCCTGCCTCCCTGGTTCCAGCAATTCTCCTGCCTTAGCCTTCTTTGTACCTGAGATTACGGGCACCTGCCACTACACCCGGCTAATTTTTTTGTATTTTTAGTAGAGACGGGGTTTCATCTTGTTGGCCAAGCTGGTCAGGAACTCCTGACCTTGTGATCCGCCAGCCTCAGCCTCCCAAAGCGCTGGGATTACAAGTTCGAGCCACTGTGCCCAGCCAGATTCTTTTTATTCTATCCATTGTGATAATCTCTGAATTCTGATTGGGGAGTTTAATCCATTTACATTTAAGGTGATTACTGATAAGGAAGGATTTAGTTCTGTAATTGTGATGTTGGTTTTATGCATGTCTTATAGCTGTTTTGTCCCTCATCTCCTTCATTCCAACCTTCCTTTGTTTTTAGTCGATTTTTTTCTAGTGATATGTTTTCATTGCCTTCTCATTTTCTTTTGTGTATATTTTATGTCTATTTCTTTGTGATTACTATGGTATTGCATATAACAATACAGTTATGACAATCTTGAATTGAAGCCGATATGAAACTCTGCTTCTTTACATCTTTTCCCACCCCTCCTTTTACATTATTGATGTCACAAGTTACACCTCCACAGGCGGGCAGGCTGGAAAGTCACAATGTTGCAGGCTTCAGTCTAAAATTTGTAGACCAGGCTGGGAGACTGGAAACGTAAACTGTAGTTGCTACTGTCATCTTCAGGCAGAACTTTTTCTCCTCTGGGAAGCCTCATCTTTGCTGTTATATACCCTTCGCTGGTGATACCTTCAGATACTGGAAAATTTGAGGTAACTATGGACTGTAGCAGCCCCCAGCAAACTGTATAGCCCTACAGAAAAGGGGCCAGACTGTTAAAAGAGAAAACAAAAGAAGAGAAAAGAAAACCCACTCAAAGGTCAGCAACCTCAAAGATTTAGGGTAGATAAGCCCACAAAGGTGAGAAGAAATCAGCAAAAGAATCTGATAACCAACCTGACAGAGCTGAAAAACACGCTAGAAGAATTTCACAGTGCACTCACAAGTATTAATAGCAGAATAGAGCAAGTGGAGAAAAGAACCTCAGTGCTTGAAGACTGGCTTTCTGAAATAAGACAAGAAGATGAGACTAGAGAAAAAAGAATGAAAAGGAATGAACAAAACATCTGAAAAACATGGGATTATGTAAAGAAACTGAATGTATGAATGATTGGTGTATCTGAAAGAGATGGAGAGAAAGGAACCAATTTGGACAACATTTCACGATATCATCCATGAAAACTTCCCCAACCTAGCTAAACGGGCCAACATTCAAATTCAGAAATGCAGAGGATCCCAGTAAGTTGCTCCAAGAGAAGATCATCCATCATCCCCAAGACAAATAATCATCAGATGCTCCAAGGTTAAAATGAAAGAAAAAAATGTCAAGGGTAGCCAGAGAGAAAGGCCAGATCACCTACAAAGGGAAGCCCATCAGACTAACAGTGGATCTTTCAGTGGAAATCCTACAAGCCCGATGAGATTGAGGGCCAATACTCAACATTCTTAAAGAAAAGAGTTTCCAACCCAGAATTTCATATCCAACCAAACTAAGCTTCATAAGCAAAGGAGAAATCAGATTCTTTTCAGGCAAACAAATGCCAAGGGAATTCATTACTACCAGACCTGCAGTACAAGAACTTCTGAAGGAAGCACTAAACATGGAAAGACAGTTACCAGCCACTACAAAAGCACAATTAAGTACACAGACTAGTGACACAATAAAGCAACCACATAAGCAAGTCTGCAAAGTAACTAGCTAACATCATGATGACAGGTTCAAATCCACACATATCAATACTAACCTTAAATGTAAATGGGCTAAGTGCCCCATTTAAAAGACATAGAGTGGCAAGCTGGATAAAGAACCAAGGTCTATCAGTATGCTGTCTTCAATACACCCATTTCACATGCAATGACACACATAGGCTCAAAATAAAAAGAAGGAAGAAAACTTACCGAGCAAATGGAAAGCAGAAAAAAAGCCAGGGTTGCAACCCTTGTTTCTGACAAACCAGGTGTTAAACCAACAAAGATGAAAAAAGACAAAGAAGGGCATTACATAATGGTAAAGGGTTCAATTCAACAAGGAGATCTAACTGTCTGAAATATATATGCATCCAACACAGGAACACCCAGATTCATAAAGTAGGTTCCTAGAGACCTTCAAAGAGACTTAGAATCTCACACAATAATAGTAAGAGATTTTAATACTCCACTGACAACATTAGACAGATCAAGAGAGAAAATTAACAAAGATATTCAGGACCTGAACTCAGCCCTGGATCAAATGGACCTGATAAATATCTACAGAAGTCTTCACCCCAAAGCAACAGAATATACATTTTTCGCACTGCCACATGGCACTTACTCTAAAATTGATCACACAATTGGAAGTAAAACACTCCTCAGCAAATGCAAAAGAACTGAAATCATAACAAATAGTCTCTTGGACCACAGTGTAATCAAATTCAAAATAAAGACTAAGAAATTCATTCAAACCATACAATTACATAGAAATTGAATAACCTGTACTTGAACGACTTTTGGGTAAATAATGAAATTAAGGCACAAATCAAGAAGTTCTTTGAAGATAATGAGAACAAAGACACAATGTACCAGAATCTCTGGTAAACAGCTAAGGCAGTGTTAAGAGAGAAATTGATAGCATTAAATGCCCACATCAAAAAGTTAGAAAGATTTCAAGTTAACAACCTAAAATCACAACCAAAAGAACTTGAGAACAAAGAGCAAATATATCCCAAAGCTAGCAGAAGACAAGATATAATAAAAAAAATTAACAAAAACATTGTCTCCCGAAGGAGGCAGAGACAGGAAAAACCACTCAAAAGATCAATGAACTCAGGAGTTTTTTGGTTTTTT